TGGTCTGTTGGTCAAAACCAACTGAAAACTAAGAGCTGAAATTTTCTGAGGGGTGCCCTTAATCTAACACGTTGGAGAACCCTGCTCTAACTAGCATGCAAGCCTTGGCTGAAGTACAGGCTCTAAAACTGAGCCATTAAGCTGTAAGTGACCATAATATAATTAAGTTCAACAGCCTGTGGGCGAGAACGCACTAGCTCTAGGATTGATATTAAACCTTAAAAAGAAGCTAGTGAACGAGACCTAACATCAAAAGTGAGGAAATGAAATCCCAGACTTCGTGATTTAGACATGCTGCAGCAGAAGGTATGCATCCTCCTAAACAAAATGAAAGCAGAAAAAATAAGCCAACACAATTAAATGGGAAGTTTCAAGAGGTTGCCCGAGCCAAAATGGAAACCCTGAACAAAGACAACCAAAAGGAACAAATTAAGAGAGGTAAAATGGAAATTAGGAAGGTTACACAGAAACAGAGAGAAAATAACTTAAATCATTTCTCATTTCTTAGTTTCCTGAAGCAGGGCAACTGAAGAGAACTTGGAGGAAGCAGTCCCAGCACTGTATCAGGAAGGAAGGGAGAATTGGGCCACTACAGGAAAGCTGAGTGGTTGGTCCTCAGCCCAGAGGACATCCTCCCTGGGGTTACAAAGACACACTCAGACTCTGATGGACTCCTTGGGCCCAGTTCTTTCACTGTCCCCTTCTGTTGTATGATTTTACTGAGGCTGAGCCAAGCAGAATATTATTTTTTGTCACTGAGATTATACCAGTGAATGAATAAACATTTGCAAGGTCAATCAGTGCAATGGCAATAAGCAGAAAGCAAAAATGAAGATCCGATCAATACCTTCCAGTCTCTTCCACTCCTTGGAGGGATACCCAACGTGTAGGAGATCGAGAAAGGCAGCCTTCCCACAGGAGGGAGGAAAACCAGGACGCCCAAGCACATCCCATTAGCGACTTACAGAACAGAGCTGGAGAGACAATTATTGCCGAACTTGTGCAAAAGTTTCCTGTTTCTGCATTAACAGAAGCGTTCTTTACCTCCAGTACACAGAAAACAAGGAAGACAACCATGCTTCTACTGGAAACTGTGATTTACCCTGAAATAGTTTTGTAAGTAATAACTCCCCTAGGCAAGGCCAAAAACATGCAGTCTCAATCTAGTCAATTCCTGGAAACACAATGAGTCAGCCCATTAGCTAGGCAAACGCATCAGGACTGGGTAGGTTTCCCCTGGCCCTCTTTTACGCTCAAATCCTGCTGCACTTAAATCAATTCTTACTCGTCGTCTCTCTCTCTCTCTCTCTCAAGGAAAGCTCCCTTTGAAGTCAGTGGAGTTCTGCCTAAATACTGAGCACCAAAAAAAAAGCCTAGAGGACCCTGAGATTCAACTCCTATTAAAAAAAAAATTCCCCCAGAATGCTGACTGGGAACCAACTGAAAGCTGTATCTAAAATTTATAAAGAGCAGCTGCTGAGCAGTTCGGTCCAAACTCTAATCTACAAAGAAGCTATTACAAGGATTTCACAGTGGATTTTAAAAACCCACCTCTTCATTATTCAGCCCCCAAACAAACCAACAGACCAAACTCTGCAAGTGACATCAGCCATTTTTATGCTCTCATGTGCCCTCTGCTGTCTTAAGTGAAGAAGTTAACATTATTCCCAGGGCTGCGTGGAAAAGAAAGCTCGAGTCATCAATAATCCTGGTGAACAACATTTCAGCCAACTCACGCTAGTGTCAAGATTAGTTAAAAATAGGTGGAGGAAAAAGGAGACGGAGTTCAGGGGAGAGATAGAAAGTCAGTAAGTCTTAACCAATGGACAAAACCCAGCAACACGCAAAATTCACACTTAACTTACAGAGAAGCTAAAAAAATAAAAAAGCAGAGCTGTGGAAACAATGCTTCTTTAACAAAAGCAGGGAAAATATGGAAATAAGTAAAAGCAAAAAAAGCAAGTTTGCCAGAAGTATCTTTATTTAAAAAATAGAAAACATCTATACTGATGCCAAATTTCCAGTTACTGGGGCCCCAAAAAAGCCAAGAGTTCTTCCAAAATGGAAACCTCTTCCTGGTAATAACAACAGTAATGCTTTGACAATCATGCTAGTATAGGCAGAAGACAGGGCATCATGGCACCTTACAGACTAACTCATTCATAGTGCCAGAGCATCCTAGCAATAATGACCATTACTTAAATCAAAAGCTCTCTCTAAAACAAAACTGTATTCAATACCAACAAATGATTTGCTATCAAGTTTTTGTTTTTAACAATAAAGTAGCCTTTGATGAAAATTAAAGCACACACCCCCTCCGTAGGTGTTGCATATACAATATCTGCCATTTAAAAATCAGCTCCCTTCTTTGAAGTGGAAAGGAACCCTGCCCTATATTACAACTCAGGCCCTCATTAAAACAACGAATGCTCACTATACACAGGCAGCGCTCATTGTATTTTAATGAGCATCACAATCCTCTTGCCAGGAGATAACTTGCAAATGTGGGTATGAAGAGGCCATTCTGCAGTGACATCCCGACCTCATTCCGATGCCTTCCTCAATTTCCAGGTTAGTGCAACTGGTTTATCATTAAGTCAGTCATTAACTCACATTTATCATCTAAAGTGCTACTGAGAAGTGGAGAAGCAGTGTAATATTCCCCCATATGGAAGGGCACAAGGAGGAGGAACATGACTCCAGGATTCCAATGATCTGAGCCTCTCAAGGCTGAAAGTTTTCTTATGAGGGAATAAGTTGTCTGAAAAGGTAACTAGCTGAGACACTCACTTACACTACTGTCCCTTTGTGATGCTTCCTTTAACAAAGCAAAAAAGTTTCTACATTATTTTTCCAGAAGTGACAGGGACAAAACGGTCTAAGGATTATGGGAAATTCTTGCAACAAGCAAACAAGGGGATAGGAAGCAATGGAGGGTTTTTTTGGTTGGGCTTTTTTTTTTTTTAATTTTTTTTCCCTACTGTTATTTTGTGATCCTGAGAAGAAAGGCGCTGACTTGGTGCACAACAGCTTTATATAGTTTTCAATAACTTCTGAACAAGATGCTACAAAATCTAGTCAGTTAATTAAACCAAATATTACATTTTCTCTCATGAGTTCACATGTAAAAAGAGCACTGTAAATGAGGCCCGTGGGCCCAATTCTTCCCCTGCTACAGCTATTCCATGTGGAGGGTATCCTCTCTTTTTGCTCTGCCAGGGATGGAAGCATGAAGCACCAGGCTATAGCCTTCTCTGTGTCCTTCCCTGTTCTCCAGGCATTCGTGCAACCTCAGGGATCTGGCAACAGGGCCACTATTCAGAGGAGACTGGTCAAACTTATATAGTTATTTTTTATTATTTTTGCTTCTTAAGTTTCCATTAAACAGCAAGTGTTATCTTCAGTAACCAGAGACTCCCCCGTCCCCAAAAAAGAGCTTATTAGCTTACTAATCACCTAGGAGAATGGCTCCAGCAAAGTGCCTGAAGAGAGGTTTCCATCACTCCAGAACATGGTCCACACAATGGGATTATTACTGTCCCCAAATTGCTTAAGTTCAAAGAAAATACAGTCACTTCTGCTGTGGAAACATCCTCCTTCCTGCCACCACAGCAGAGAGGGAGGTGGAGCACTGACTTCTCCAGCTTTCTCTGACTCAGCAGGACGGGTCTGACTGATCAACCACTGCTGGCACTGCCATGCAGCACAGGCACAAACTCACCCACATTTTGTGGCCTTCCCCTGTTCTCAGAGCATTCAAACGCCTTGTGTACTAAACAAAGAAGGATGACCATCCTGCTTTTAGACATAAGCATGTGATGACATTCACTTCAATGGCATTACATGCAACCCACAGGGAGAGTATACTCCTATACCTACAGTTGTCACCCAGATTTTTCAAGTTTCTCCCTCTGTCTCCCCAGTAAACAAAGTGCATTTTCCAGTAATGAATATGCAGCGTGTCCTATGACACTATTGTCAGCACAGGGCTGAAATTTTTCTAGCCAGACAGGATTTCCTTGCAATAGGCTCTCTTGGAAACATACCACTATGCAGTATGGTAGAGCTACAGGGGGAGGTACCTGCTCCCTCACCACCTTCTGCAAAACAGGCCAGGAGTTCAGTCAACTGCTTGCCATTTTTAGGTAAGATTTCTACCATCTTTACCTGGACTATACCAGGAATGCTTCCCCTAGCTCTCCCTACCTCTCCACACACCTCTGCTGAAAGGTGGAAGGCAGGCTGCCACTATACCTAGTTAGCAGCAGCAACCACCAAGGAGCAGCATACATGGAAAAGCTTCACTTCCCTAACAGAAGGTTCCCAGCAGGAGTCTGGCAACCAGGATATCTAAAATCAGATTTCCTTCACCTTTCCTTTGTGGCAAAAGGAAGTAGAAAAACTAACGAAGGACAGCTCCAAAGCCTGCTGGCTCCAAGGAGGCATCAGGATTTACTTTGATACTCCAGCCCTCTCATTCATTGCTTCCACTCTGAGAAGCACACTATTTCTGATTCCCAGTAACAGTATTCACAGCTAAGCTAGATTGCCTTCACATATCCATCAATTGAAGGAAGTGAGGTTCATAGCCATAGACTTTTGGGATATGTAACGTATTAGCAAAATATTCTCTCAGTTACCAACAGATGCTTTGTTAATAAAACTTGCATATACAAATGTCCATGAAATGTCTTAACAGAATCAATTGTGACAGTTAAAGATAACGGCTGCCATCATGCTATGTCATGTCAAATTACTACACAGAGACATTGATTTTTTTCACATTGTTAAGAACATTAACTACAAACAAATATACTTATCTATAGAGGAACCCGAAGTGCAAGAATATTTTGCACTATTTCTCCCAAAGTGCAGTGACTTTGAGGACCAGATAGAGAAATCATTCTCAACAGCTGGAAAAAATAATTGCAGTGTAACAAAAGCAAAGGGCAACACTGTTTCCCAAAGATAGCCAATTGCTGGACCACATACAAACTTACCTTAAGATACAGAAGCAGCTCTTGGCCCCAGAAGATAAGCGGCAGAATCCAAATCTCTGTTTGCTGTCAATGTCAGTGAGTACAAATGTAAAGTTCTGGCCAACTTGGCCAACTGTATGGCTGAAAATAAAGAGAACAAAAGGAAAAAGTTAATGCACAGTTAATTCAGCGCTAGAAATATCTAATCAGACTAAGTCACTGAACCTGAAAGCATTTCCTCTCTCAGCAGAGATTCTTTGAAAATTAATGGAGTATTTACACCCTCTGAAAGTGCAAACTTGAATCTGTCTCCCTTGGTTTAATTTTTTTGGCTGGGGGGTGGAGAGAGGTGGAGATAGCAGGAGGGGGAAGGATGTGGAAGGGGAGTGGGGAAAAATAGTCTTACATTTTTAAACAAAGAATGATATGACTTTTGGGTATGTTTAACACTGTACACACAGTACCAGCTAAACATTCAATCCAAAACATTTCTTCTCCTCCTTAACTCTAGGGTTTATTTTATTTGCTAACTTTCTGGCTTTGCATAATGTATTAATATTTGACTGTAAAATGTGAGTGGCCATTTTTCCCATTTTCTAAATAAGTTCAGAATGGATAAGACACAACACTAAAGTGTATGGAGTATGGAGCATTCCCAGATGTTTTCCCCCTTTTGTGTATGCAACCACACAATTCTCTCCCTAAGGTAATAATAGCTCACCTTTAGCTGATACTAACATTAGTGAAAAGTATATGAAGGGTAAAAAACTTCTTAACAATAATCAGCCTATGAGAATATCTATTCACAGTTAAAACGTGCAACTTTATGGTGTACAACGCAGAAAAAAAAGAAAACCCACAATGTACCCAATAAAAGGGAAACAAACTTTTATTTCCTAACACTAGAATTCATGAAAGATATTACTCCTAGTAGTTTGAGGTCTCTCCCAAATACCATCTTTTACATTACACACAGTACTTTTTTTAAAGGTTTAATTTCAAAATGAAACACATTAAATATTTCATGCAGTGTTATTTGATTTCTTGAAATATTACCACGTCTGTCTAAATCTCACCAAACACAGAAATGCTTGTTTATGATGGTGGCAGACCGTATGAAAGACTAGGATTAAGTATACCCTGGGCTTCATTCACCACCAAGTCACTCCAGTTTTGCACTGGTATAATTTCATTGTTTTAATTAAAGTTACAGTAATAGTGTTGAAACCAGGCCCAATAAATTCAGAGGAAATGTTATTAATCATGTTTTATTAATCCAGATTAATAATTATGGTCATTTGAGAATTTGTGCAAGTTTGAATTAAAGAATATAAAATGTGAAGTGTCCATTTTGTGTTCAAAGTACTTTCCTGTCTTTTTAGGGCTTACAGCAAACGGTGGCAATTGACTAGTTTCTGTGCATGCAAGTATGAAGTACATTAACTTAATCCTGCTTATCAAAAGGAGAATAAAAAAAAAGGAAAATTCTTGCTGACTTCAGACTCACTAAGATATGGACAAAAACCTTAAGACGGACAGAAATATCAGGTTCTGAGTTTATTTTAAAATCTATACAGCTACTTACAAGACTATCAATGAATGTCCAGTACAAACCAAAAAAAGGCAGATTTTCACAAATAGAGGCTTGCAATACAGGCCAAGAAATTCCACTACCCAACTTAAAGGGGAAAAAACCCTCTCAATGGATTTGAAAAGAGAAAGAAAAAGAATGCTGGAGGGCTAAAGACAGACCATTTCTCCAAATCAAAGATGAACTGAAAGGAAGGAATTTTAAAGCAACTCAACAGTCAGAAAATTAGGTAGTGTAAGTATCACTATTCTATGGCTTGCTAAATGCCAAGAGAACACACATTTTTATAAACTGCACAGACCTGTCAGGGGGAGACCCAGAGAGCCCCTATTATTCCTGTTATGTTTTATCTGTAAAGCTGGGATGTAAAGTTACTATGGTGATTTAATTCTGTTTTAAAAGAGGATTATATGCTTAATTTTAACAAGGTTGAGATCTGAGGGTGCGTGAAAAATAGCATCCTAACTGACCATTAAAATGACAGCAGAGGGAAGAAGCAAGCTGCATTTGAGGAAGGGAGGAGATTGTTTATTAAGCTACTGAGAGACGAGTTGGTAGAGAAACCTGGGATAACAGCTTCAGATGTTGTGTGGCTCTTTTATCTAAAATTATTTAAGGCATGCTTGCTGGCTATGCACAAAGGCCCCATTTTGGGCCCGGGGCTCAACTCTGTTCTTTAAATGCATGTAAAATAGTCACCTTGGAATTAAGCAAGGTGCCAAGAATCACTCTGATCACTTTGCCTGTTTTTATATTCCTCCCTTCTTATATGTTCTAGCATTTTAGATTGTAGCCTTAGGAGCAGGGCTGCCTTCTTAACAGCTTGTCCATCATCTAACACAAGGCCATGATCCTGAGTGGGAGGAGGAAGAGTAGAGAAACAAGAAAACCAGAAGCTGGCAACAAAAGAACTGAGTAAAAGGAGACAAGTGGGAACCAAGAGCCCAAAAGTGACATCCACAATTCAAACCAAAAAGCACATGAACTTGTTTCTGATGTCCAGATTTGCTCACATTCAGGGGTGGCAGAACATCTTCCTTTCCTACCACTTTTGTACCCCCCTGCCCCCCAGCTGATGCCCCAATACCACAGGGAAGGGAGACAGGCCATTGCCTCTGTTCCATGTGGCTGAAGGGCCAATGAAGCTCTTTAAGCTCCTAGTCATTTCTTTTCATTACTGTAGTAGCATATGCCAACATGGATAAACCGTCCCTATTCATAGCTTATTTTCCTTGGTATGCAAAATAACAGAATAAATGATGAATGTACTGACAAACAGAAATCATTCATACGGAGAATGACTGTCCATGTATCAAAACAGACAGTTTTTGGACTATTAAAACTGGGGCAGACAACACACCATTGATCCATTTGTGCTCTTATCTTAAATAATTAATTAGTCTCCCACAGATTCATTCAGACATACCAGAACTCATGACTGAGGAAAGAGAGATGGGGGAAAAGGGGAAGAGGAGCACCCATTTCAGGATGGAAGTGTTACATCAGAAAGTACATATAGGTGAGAGGTATCAAGTGCCCAATAACATCTTCCAGGCACAGAGCACCCAGATATCATTTTGCATGCTACCTTTACATTCAACTTCTAAGCCAGGGCTTCAATGACTACATAGAAAACTCCCTGAAAACCACATTGCAAAAGAAGTCATCTGCATGCCTGATTACTAGGAAGCAGCCTTCAGCATTTTCTTCACAAAGCTTTTTTGCATCCAAGAAATGGCTGGAAGATGATATGCACTCAAGCTACACAAATGCCCTCCATATGCTTGCGCAGCAGAATGACAAATTTAGCAGAACACCCAGGTTTCTTGGATTCCTGGACGTGTGTGTCAGTGTCCCCCTTCCAGGTGAAGAAAGGGTATGCATCAATAATGACTTGGAGGAGGGAGACTAGTTAGACTTACAAGCCCAAAAGTGCCCTTTCCTCCTAACCAATTATCAATACACAGGACCCAATACTCTGGCGTTCATAAGGAGGAACTCCAATTTACCAGGATGAAGCACCACAATGCTAAAGCAGTTTTAAACCATCTAAGATGAAGTCATGGCCATGGAGATCAGGTTTGTCTTGGTCTGAACTTTGATTGGACCAAGCACGGTGATCTCCTGCGGATGGACAACAGCTATCTGCTTGGGGCATTCCATTCGTAAATTTACTCATCATCTGTCTTACTACAGCATTTACAGCCAAGTACTTGAGATAAGTTTACCCCAAGAAAGATATATCAACACTATCAAAATGGTGCCTCTGGGCCATTTTTCTTTTTTTTTTTTTTTTTCTTTCAAAATATTCTGACACTGGGGGGGAAAAAGACAGAGATTTTAGTGACTTCTCCCTCATTTGACTTGGATCCCGTCTGTCATGCTGGTCTGATGCTTGCTTAGAACTGCTCATCAAATGGACCTCATGTCTGCCAAAATATGCTTCTGCATACTGAGTATCTTCTAGCCCGGGAAATCTGAACCTACTCCTCTCCTTATATGCCACAATGCACACTCTTACGTGCTTGGACTGTTAAGAGTGTCAACTAAGTGTCAATTAATATTTTAATAGCGATCAATGTTATCACTGTATTTTAGACATCTGTATAAATGATATAATTAGACTGCATTGCCCAAAGAATTATGCAAGTCAAAGCAAACGTTACTTGCAGAAAACTACTGAGAGCTCTTTACCAATGACCAATACTTCTGCATTACTCATATGGTATGTACTGTATTTACTCAAATCCAAGACAAGGTTCCTCCTCTCCTTTAATGAAATGTGTTTTTCCATGTATACAATCTCATTATTAGGGGGTCATCTTAAATTCACAGTCACCTTGGATTCAGGTTAATATGGTATAAATGTGAAAATAATGGCATGGAGCCCTATTGTGGAAAGTTCTTCATACTCTTACAGATTCATGTTTGCGGTGACATTCTAATACCATGCTGCATTATTTTCTTCCTTTCCAGAACCGTCTTGGAGGTGCTCTTCCCAACAAAGAACAGAAGCTCCAGCATGGAATACACTGATGGCACTGATGAGCATTTTACACTGAAGCTCTTGGAGCATGCCTCAAGTGTACAATGATACCTTTGGCACACAAAAATAGCAGACTGCTTAACAGTAAGCTATCAATGACATAATGGCCAAAGGGTTCTCTTTACCCTCAAAATCATGATGAACTATATGCTGCCATTCTAAAAGCCACGCTCTGCAAAAAGCACAAAACTGCTTCAGGTGTTGACATCCAGTTGTCTGAAAGAGATGCGTCTAAAAACCGTAAGAACTTTGAAGAGGGCCCTTTATCAGTGCTCTGCTTCTCGGCATTTGGCAAGGGAACAATAGCAGCAACAGTACAGCTGGAAGAAGAGGGTGCCGCTTATGTATCGCTGTTGTCAAGAGCCATTCATTGAAAGGGCAACCTGGTAGGAATCTACAGGAAAAACTGCAGGAATTCTCAAGTATCTTGTTCATTTTCAGTGGGGCCCGTTGCAAGTCTATGACTGCACATGACACCAGACTTCATTATGGCTGTGAGTTTCACAGATTAACTAACTTCTATGGAAAAAAAATTAATGTCTGATATCACTACCATTAATTTGGCCGTTCACAGTGGTGGCTGAACACCCTTCAATAACCAAGTATGTCGGGTAGCCTATGTTAGCTTCTGTTCCTACCTCCACGAATTTATACAGGTCGTCTGTGTGGTGCTCTTAGAAAGCACCTTGAACTATGGAATCACTAACATCCTACCAGAGGATACTATGCTGTCAGTAATTATTAGAAAAAACCAATATATGAAACATCTGCAATTATTTAACAAAAGATACTCAATCTAATGCAGACAGATTCTACTGCTACAGTTACAACTAGCAAAAAACAAACTAGCAATTGGAAATCCAAGTGCTTATGGCTGAATCTGGTACAACGTTTCCATCCCTTACTTGTTCAGAAGGGTAACTTCAATTTTACTATATATAAAGCTGAAACTAACCCTCCACAGCCAGAACCCTAATAACTAGAGATCTGATCCAATATACTGTTTTTCAGGTACAGAAAGAGGATTAAAATCCCTCTGGAGCCAGTACTGGTTTGCTCCAGCAGTCACACCTCTAAGAATCATACTGGTTCAAAATTAAAGAGGATAGTGCTTTTGGTACAAAACATTTTTTTAACTTATGCTAAAATGTGAAAAGTTCACTAAGAATATGGGGGGAGGGAGGGAGCCTTCCAACAATGTCAGGACTCATTTCATTAACAGCTGCTTGTTCATTTCTTCCAGTCACTTTATTGCAAATACACTGTAAAAGAGATGAGTAGTCAAATGATAATGGTTAGCAACAGAAGAAGATGCATTTGATTTTAAGCTCATCACCCTGCAAGTTCTAGATACAGCATCTCAGAACAGGTATTTACCTGTAGCTATATTTGATTGCAGCCAAAGGCAAGAAGCGATTAGCACCTGTGAGTCAATACCAGCATCCCTTTTTAATTTGGTAATTTAAATATTTGAGTTCCAAGGATTTAAGAATATATGTTCTCTCTCATTGGTAATGGACAGCTAACGTGACTGGCTCATGATTAGTCAAATTTAACATTATAAGCAGATAGCACTGAACAGACATTAACCTGTTTTTGATAACTTTCTAGTAGGGTAGTTTGTAGGTGGGAGAAGCAGCAGCAGCAAATATCTGTTTAAGTCTATTTACAGACTTCACACACACTTAACTTATGGGTGTTCCATACTCTGAGAAGTGTTGGAAACCCATTACTTAAGTAATTTAAAAGTGGATAAAATTATTTAAAGGTGTTTTAAGAAACAAATCTCAGAGGCCTAAAAATAGATGTTAACTTAACGCCTTTCTGATCCCCTAAAGTCCAGGATGTTAAGAAACTGGAATGCATCAAGCGTATGACTAAAGAGTGAAAATATTAATGTCATTTCAGCTATAGTTAGTCTCTATTAAGTTCTTTCCATTTTTGACCTGGAGGGATGTGGGCAGTGGGGATCCTCAGGGCTCAGTCCTCAGGCCCGCACTGTTCAACATCTTCATCAGCGACTTGGACAAGGGGGTAAAAAGGACCCTGTTCAAATTTGCTGATGACACTAAGATGTGGGGAGATGTGGGCACGCTAGACGAGAGGGACAGGCTACAACTGGATCTGGACAGGCTACGGGATGGGCGGATGAGAACAGGATGGGATTCAATACTGACAAGTGCAAGGTGCTGCACCTGGGGAGGAAGAACCAGCACCATACCTACAGGCTGGGGAACTCCCTGCTCGTCAGTGCAGAGGCAGAAAAGGATCTTGGAGTCATCATTGATGCCAAGATGAACATGGGCCGGCAGTGTGGGGACGCAGTCAGGAAGGCCAACCGCACCTTGTCATGCATCCACAGATGCATCTCGAGCAGGTCCAAGGAGGTGATCCTCCTCCTCTATGCAGCACTGGTCAGGCCGCAGCTAGAGTACTGCGTCCAGTTCTGGGCACCGCACTTCAGGAGGGATGTGGACAACATGGAGAGGGTGCAGAGGAGGGCCACTCACATGATCAGAGGGCAGCAGGGCAGGCCCTATGAGGAGAAGCTATGGGACCTGAACCTGTTCAGCCTCCACAAGAGAAGGCTGAGGGCGGGATCTGGTGGCCGTCTATAAACAGGCCAAGGGAAACCAGCAGGCAATGGGAGAGTCCCTGTTCCCCCAAGCACTACCGGGAGTAATGAGGAATAATGGCCATAAATTGACTGAGAGTAGATTCAGGCTAGAAATCAGGAGGCGCTACTTCACAGTCAGGGTGGCTAGGATCTGGAACCAACTTCCAAGGGAAGTGGTGCTCGCTCCTACCCTGGGGGTCTTCAAAAGGAGGCTGGATAATCACCTAGCTGGGGTCATTTGACCCCAGCAGTCTTTTCTGCCCATGGAAGGGGGTCAGACTTGATGATCTGCTTAGGTCCCTTCCAACCCTACCAACTATGAAACTATTACACACAAATTATTACAGTTTTGATTTTTTCTTCAGCACTTTACATAGCTGCAAAAAACTAAGGACAATATACTTAAGCAATATGCTAAATATTCTTATGCAGAATAGGAGCAGATATATCTATCAACAAAAGGAAAAAAATGAAGCTGACCTTACTTGCTTTCAGTAAATATAGGATGTACAGGAAAACAGAAACAATATCAGGTTACACTTATAAAGAAAGGGAATGAAGATGAGCCAGAACAGTGAACATTAAATAGCAGAAGCATTTGTAAGTGTTCACTTAGAAGTCAATTAGTGTGGGTAAAAGGACTCATGACCGCCCACAGGACTGGAATCTTACTTATCCACAAGGTCAAGTTCAGCACAGATACTGCCAGGGCAAGCTTCCCCTTAGCACTGTCTCTTCAATGTGTCCCAATCCTGACCTGGACTGATCACCTCAAAGGTTGAAAGAGCAATTAGTCCTCAACATCTATTCAGCTCCTGGCCTTCCTATTGAGACTGAAGAAAAAGGACAAGCTGCGGTGGTGGTTTCAGAATGTAGACACCTGTCCCTCTAGAAACCAGACTGAGATTATCAATTCATGTCAAAGTCCAATTAAAGGTTTTCCAAAGATTACCTTTAGGCTTTACTGACTTGTCCTTTT